CCCGTCCAGTCGGTAGCCTCCTTTTCCGAGCTGGCAGGGCCAATAATGTAAAAAGTGTTTCACGTCTCCCCTGCTTACGCCGCTTCGAGGGGCAAATTGGAAAGTGACGAGAGTGACAAGTAGTGCGGCGCGAGCATTGAGCAAGCGGGCCACAATAGGCCAGTCGAGCCGGCTGCCAAGCTCCATTTCAAGGGTTGCATTCCAATTGATTAGGGTGCTTGTGAAACAAACGCCGCCGACAGAAACGAGACGACGGCCATGGCAACTGCCGGGCAGCGTGCCAGCCACTCGCTCTTTTGCTCGCGGCGCTCTCACTTTCCTCTCTAATTCACACATTAGTGACACATTAAGGACACCCACAATGTGGCCACCGGGAGTACTGTTGTCCTAGTGTGTGTGTGTGTGTGTGTGTGTGTGTGTGTGTGTGTGCGTGGAATTCTACGGTTCGACTTAGAATCCATGCCAGGCCTCGCCAAACCCCGCGTTGCAAAATTCTTGGCACTTCAAGGTATTCCTGGAGGAATACTTGATCCAATGCCAGCGTGTGCTCTGTAACACGACACAGACGGTTGACAATGCGCAACACAAGAGAGAGGGTACGGGTCCAAGATTGTGGGTTGTTTGTATAGCAAAGGGGCGGCACGGTGGACTAGTGGTTGGCACATCCGCCTCAAATCAGGCTGGCACAGGCTGGATCAGTGCATTCAAAAGCATCCCGTGCACCTTGGGTAGCCGACTGGCCGCAATATTAGGTGCACCTTGACAGGCTAATACATTTGAATGAAGGAAATCAAACCAAAGTAAGTGCTGAGGCACCATTTTGTGGCATCTTGGTGCCAAGAAACTATGTTGAAATATGTTGAGGAGCTTCATTCGGACAAAAGCAGTGCTTTAGCACTATCTTGTCGTGGTATATTTGTGCCAAGGAGCTACCGTTTGTTAAAGAGAGTTGTTGATTGTCATTTGGGCAAAAGTAGTGCTTTCTTTTCGGAATTTTTGGAAGCTTCTTTTAATTGCTTGATGGAGCATTTGTATGCTCAGGCCAAAGCAATATAAGTCCTGCTCGATATCTTGTGGCTTCTTGGTGCCAAGGAATTATGTGGAAGTCATTTGAGGAGCTTCGTTTGAACAAAAGTTGCACTTTACCACCATTGTGTGGCATCTCCTGCCAAGAAACTGTGTTAAAATGAGTTGGAGAGCTTCATTTTGAGAAAATGGTGCTTTACCACCATCCTTTGGTATTTGGTGCCAAGGAACGATGTAAAACTGACTTTAGGAGCTTCGGTAAGAAAAACATAGTGCCTTGCCACCATCTTGGGAACTACGGAACTATGTTGGAAGTGAGTTGATTGCTTCATTTGGACAAAAGTAGTGGGTTACCACCATCATGTGGCATCTGCAGGCAATCATCAAGCTTTTGAAGGGGTGTCTTCAATACTTGCAGATTTTTGCTCATTTCTGTGTGTAAATGGCGACACACCGTGGTTATATATGCGTTGGATTTTTGTTTCATGTTGACTTTTGCGTTTTAAATTTGGTTTTAATTGTTGTTAGTTTTTGTTTATATATTTTTTTCAAAAATGCTCTGCTTTTAACTTTTTATGAGCATTAGTTTTAATTTTTCTATAAAATAGATATGAAACAAGGCGCTGCAGTTATATATGTAACAGTAAAACGTAGTTTCAGTTAGTTTTTTTTGTTTTATTTTTAAAGTACTCTTTAATTTCGTTTTTTTTTTTTCAACTTTAGTTTGAGTTACTTCGTTAACTACAGTGACCTTGCTACACATCCTGCATATGTCCAATTAAACGGTATATCGTGTGACAACTGGACCTAACGTTGCATCCGGTTTGTGTACACTGGCGTGTAGGCGCGTTCACGTTGTCATGTCGTCTGCGCGCGTGTTGATCACCCGCAATCCTCCCCCTTATCGCAAGGTGAAGATGAGGATCGGATGAACGGTCTCGGCGCGGTTCATTGTTGTGGAAAAATGAAAGCATATGCACAATTTGCATTTTAATGAGCGAGCCGGCGAGTATAAAACAAACTGTTGAACAGCGACTCCCACAAATAAAGCCGCGGCTTAATTAAAGCGAGCGGATGTATCATCAACACGTACTCGGGCCGCAATTGTAGATCATGATTTCATCAGAAACACTTGAAGGTGCTTTTATTGTGGCGGCGCTTGTTGGCGATACGCGGCGCCGCGGCGTTCTGTTATTTTGCAAATAAGCTTTGATTGTGACACGCGTGAGTCAGCCAAGCGTAAAACGGATGCATGGGCGATGCAAAGGCCCGCGCCAAACAAAATGCTGTTCAATTAAAAGGAAAGTCATGCTATTGTATATTATGGCGGAGATCGGCGCATACATAAAGTCGCGGGGAGGCACGACGGCTCATTCGCTCCCGCTGTGTAATTTACTTAATGTCTTTCCCCTTGCTCTTTAAAACACTTGCCCATTCAAATTTGCCATCGTAATCTGCGTGACAGAGGACATTAATTATGTTCGTTGGCTGATTGCTGCTTCTCCACAACATCTTTTGATTACAATTTCACACGTTTGTAATGATGTGCTTCAGCGTTGGAAGCTGTGAAATAAACTAAAGCTTGATTATTGTTTGGAGGATTCCACAACAGAGACCGGTCCAGGGGTTTATGCGACAGTTAACCCCAAATGAAAAGAATTGGTGATTACACCATATCCAAATCATTGTTTTCGTTTTTGTTTTTTAATGTGTCTGTAATGGTTCAATTCACCAAAATATGGTGGTGCCTTGAGATGCTTGTTAACTCAAGTCAACTGTATTTATAGAGATAGCACATACCAAGTGCTGTACATGGAGCAAAAATCATATACAACGGCAACAAACATACATTAGAAAGTACAAAAACAGGACAACTAAAAATCGAGCCTTGTGCTGAGTCAAAAGCCAAAGAATGAAAATGAGTTTTGAGACGAGTTTTAAAGATGGGCAGCGAGGTGGGGCTTGCCGAACGTTCAGTGGGAGGTCATTAAAAAAAAAAAAAAAAAAAAAAGTGGGGGGGGGGCGGAAACTGTAAATATTTGGATGGCGAAAAAAAATAAAATAAATAAAAGCACCGTTATGTATTGCCTTTCCATGGTAGCTGCATTGTGACCATATCGAGAAGCACAAAAAACACAAATAAGTCATACTAAGGGGCTTGAGGAGGAACTTGATTTATATTTCCATCGCAGTATATTTTAGCGAGTTCATTAGAATTCTGTGTAAATGAGGGTTGCAACAAAGCAGTAACTTCTCTCCAGGCATGGGTTGAAATTTCATGTTTGGGAAGTTTAATTAAGCAATAGATTATGTTTTGAAAGGAGCGTTCACTTTAATGAATCCCAAAAGAGCACAGATAAACACTGCGATGCTATCAAAGCATTCATCTCTTTAATGGATGTGAAAATTGGGGATGCAAATAGCTCGGTGCCTTATTTAAAAAAAAAATTTTTTTTTGCTCGGGGGAATAGTAACGTGACACTTATGTAACCTACATGATACAGAAACTTTCAATATTTTTTTTCCACTAACGGCTGGCTAATTTAAGGACAGAACACGAAAAAGCGCAAAACTTTCGCGTTCATTCAACTGGATTGGCAACGATAAATAGGACTATTTTAAAGTAAACGCTGTCAGCGTTATAGCCTAAAATGCAATCGATATGGAAGTCTATATGGCAAATAAGCGGGGGAGGAGTTGAGCATTTCTGTTGTTGCCATGGAGACCTCGGATAAATTTCTTGTTAGTGCTGAAATATTGTCAGGCCAGCCTGGACACCTCATTTGGTGTTAGCATTAGCATTGGTGACAGTATAACTGTTCAAAACGTTCGACTGACAAGTCTCCATTGGTCATAAAAACAGTCCGACGACAACAAAGTTCCCATTCGCAGAATAAAGTGGTGTATTTACAAGAAAGGTTGCATCATCTCGAGAATTCTTCTTAATGATCTCCTTTCGCTCACATTACAGTTCGTCATGAAATTGTAAAAGATAAAAACGGTGAGTTGAAAAGAGATGTAGCAGGGCCATGACCAATAAACCGCGATGTAAATGGCAAAAAAAATCGATACTGTCCTGAATAAACGCTGACACATCGTTCTTTGGCGCCAAGATGTCACAGGATAGCAGCGAGAACACTACTTTTGCCTAAAAGGAGCTCCCCAACTCACTTCAACATGCAGGAGCGACTTGGCGTCAAGAAAGTGTGGCGCATGTGGCCGTGTCCGAATGAAGCTCTTCAACTAACTTCAACAGAACTTCAACTCTCGAGAAGCCACGAGAGGCCAAGCAGTGCTTTCATTTCATTGCAAGAAAATGACAAATAACGAAGGGTCCCCCCCCCAAAAAAAGAGAATTGGCAAACGGGTGACATCGCAAATGTCCCAACGGTGACGATGCAGGAGTTCACCCTCCACACATTTGGAGCGCATTCCCAAACATCTTTTCCGGTCGCCATCTCACTCTGGAGCGAGCCGGGCTTGGAGATAAATACGCGGCGGCCTGTGCCGTGAGCTTTTTCAAAAGGATGTTTGCCCGCGCCTCTCGACTGTGCCGCGGCGAAAGCACTCCGGAGCCAGTGAACCCTGGCGCGCGGTGTGATGGAGGAGTGCGACGTGCCCCGACTCTCCCCTCCGCAAATACGGCTGTTGTTTATCCCCGTAATGTCCATTTTATTGGGAATCTCAGCGAGCCTTCACACTGCCCGCTGTGCTCAGCGGCGTGGAGAAGCGCAGCGCCGGCCGGCAGAGTGCCAGTGAGCGCCCGTCAATCACCATCACAAGGATCAGTTGGCAGCCATCAAGCCGGAGACGCCGCGCCAATATGTTGCCCGTCTTCCATCTTTGGGTGTTTGCGCTAACCCCAACAGGATGCCCTCGCGCCGGCGCGTCATTCCGCTTTGCTCGTATTTTAACATATCGGCGAGAAGCCGCAGCGCCGGCGGTCGAAACGAGGACAAAATGTCTTACTTTGATCCCCGAGGGACGCCGCGCGCCGCTATCTTTGAATTGGAGCCTATCAAGGGGAGGCCCGCGCCGGTGAAGAGAGCAGTCAGAGGTGATCAAACCAAACATGGACAAGACGCGGCGCCACCTGTAAAACAAACACCCGACATTGATTCGATCATCTTTACTGACACCTGCAAGTCGACGTGGCTCCTGTTTACCTGACATGAAGTAAACAGCACTCGCGCTGGATACTTTTTGATCTGCATTTCATTTGGCGCCTCGCCCCCGGTATATGTTCGTCTCTGACCCGTTCCCGCCGATAATTTCCTCCATCGCATTCAGAGCGGAGCCTCCGACAGTCGCCTTCATTACAGCCAATATCTTAAATCACCTCTCGTGTGTTTCCCAACAGTTTGGGGCCCGGTCTCCTCTGAACGGCGGTCATTTAGATGTTCCGGCGCTGATTGCGAGTGCAGGTGGTAATACATTAAGGGACTGAGACAGCCAGTGGCACAGCGCTGAAAGACCTTTATCCATTTGCGCTAAGTTTGCCCACATATTCGGAGGCACGCCTTCTAATTAGGGAAATGCTTCGGACTATGGCCATATTCATATGGGACGGCTCACTTTAAGTTGTCCAACGAGGTTATTTTACATCACATATACTCCAGCGGGTCAGTAGATGATGGCAAGGTCGAGGGAATTTCGAGAAGAAATTGCACATTAATGAAAGCGGAGAATGGCTACGCAGATTTGCGACAGGGTGGCTTCGTTTTTTTGTTCTTTTTTTACCCGCCCTCCACGAGAGGTGACCTATATCGAGGGTCAAATACATATTGTAAAATACCAAAAAAAAAAGCTTAAAAAAAAAAAATAAAGTACCATCTGGAAGGCTGATTATTTTATAGAGAACTTCGTGCAGATGTGCTTTGCCTGATGAACTTAAATTGCCCTGGCCAACCAATCAGGAGGCAGAAAAAATGTTGACGTTATTGTGGGCCTGCTAACCGACCCGGTGAAGTGAATTTGAAATTGGATTGGTTAAAAAAAAAAAAAAAAAAAAAAACATTCCTGCTGTTAATAGGTGGGAAAGCTACATGGACCCGCACTCCTGATTCTGAAGGCTCTGAGTAGATTAGATTGGCATGGCAACATATCGAGACTTAAATCTGATTTGATGACAAGAAAAAAAAAAAAAAAACAAACGATGAAATGAAGAGAATCAACTGTTGGGAATAAATTAATACAGACTCACGGAACACAAATTTTGAAATTAACTTTTAAATGTAGGTCAGTGACTCGATCAAAAACTTCCATCTTGGCCAGCAGAGAAATCCAAACCACTTTTTTTTGCCTTTCCTCTTGGAAAGAAAAAGAAAAAGGAACAAAATGTTAAAAAAAGAAAATAAAATTTACGACAATGCCAAGCTCGTCAGCAAGAATGCAAAAGTAAAAACCACAGCTGTGACATTGGTATAAGGCTACCGTAGCGTGAGAGAAAAAGGCAATATTTTATCCCATCCCTAATTGACACGACAGAGCAATTGATTTTCTTTCTTTAAGGAAGAATGAAAAAAAAAAAGTCACTCTGTTTGAATCACAGTGAGTTTTACCACTCGATGATGAGCTCTTCTTGCAGGTAAAGCTTCAAAAAGCCCCCCTGGTCCATTTCCATTCTAGCTTCCAGCGGTGTGAGTGCTATGACAGCCTCTTGGGGCGAAGGGATTATCGAGATCAGGCCTCCCCCAGCTCTACGCCTCTGGCCTAGCCCGTCAAACCGGCCCAGTTGGTGCCACAAGCCCCTTCCGCACCCTCCCCGCACCCCCCCCAAGTGCCTTACAGAAGAGCCCACCAGCCGCACAGAGAGCAAAGAGGCACCGGGGACCCCTCTAATTGTCCATGCTCTGGGCAGCTCTCGGGCAAGCCAGCATGAAGAAGGCTACGCGGTCTCCAGGCTGCTCCATCGCTCAGCGTTTGGAGATGCTACGGACGATACATCTGCTCTCGGGCTTTATCTTTCTAAAGCTGCCTTACACTCAAGATGGAAATTGAGATTTTTTTGGGGGGCGGGGGGGGGGGGGATTCATGAAATTGTGCTTAGTTTAGTCAAGCTGCAGCGGGGTCATATTTCCAATGTCTTGAATGAGTTTATGAAATCATTCACTGAAATGTGAAGTGATACTTTTAAAAAGAATAGTATATATACAGTATATTACCGGACATGAAAGTAGATGTGATCCAATTCCGCTTTGCTAACCCGTTCAAAAGTTTAAACTGAAACATTGTTGGAAACGGTCCCACTGAAGACAAAAAAATAAATGTTGCTGCAGTGCACAATGTGAATTACAAACGGAATTGTATGGAAAAAGAAAACAAATTCTTCATTCGAGATATTGATCTTGTCCTATTTGTATTCTTGCGAAAATTCCTTGCCTCAGATCTCTGGGATTAACCTGCAAAAAATTTGCTCCTCAAAATTAGAAAGTTGCTCCTCAACTGAAGTCGATGATGAGCAAAATAACTTTTCAAATGAAAACCCCTCACAGGCACCCCAAGGGAAAAAAAAAAAAAAAACAAAACCTTACACTCAAAAACTTGCACCCACAGAAAAAAATCTCATATTTAAGACACACACACACACACACACACACACACACACACACACACAAACACACACACACACACACACCCAACACACACACACACAAACACACACACACACACACACCCAGCCGCCCCAATAATAATAAATCACTCCCATGCAAAAAAATCCCCCCCCCAATAAATAAATTAATAAAAAAAATCACTCATGCACCCAAAAACTCTCTCACAGGCCAAGATTCTCACACTCGCCACCCACAAAAAAAAGAAAGAAAAAAAAGCTTTTCAACAGTTGTGTGACAGCATATACCGTACTGCAAAAACAGCTCATTGCTGATTTTTTATAAAAAGCTCACCTATAAATTTTACACACACACACACACACACACTGCACAGTGCGATGTTGCGTTGAGAAAGAGGAAATGACTTTAATTGGATGGCTAAGGAGCTTGCGCAATACGATGTCGCTAATGGCGAGCTGAAGCGTCCGCGGTAATTACAATCATTTGTCAATCTTTAAAACTTGATGCATGCATAAATGTTATTGTGGTGCATAATTGCTTTTAGTTCCGTTTGGCTGATCATGCATCCAAGATTGCCGCAGCTGTCTTGTCACAACCGCCGCCGCCGCCTCGTGATTTTCAACTCTATAAACGGTATCATTTCTTTCTTGAAATCATTCCCGCGCGCTTGTCAAGCCGTGATGGCCACATGTGCGCATGCCGCTCCTCCCCCCACCGCTGCAAGACAAGCGTCTGGCCCTTCCTTTGTACGGTTGGCCTTGTCAGTCCTCATCCAGCATCCAGTGCGAGGGCTAAACGCAGCTTCATTTCACCAGCTCCAAGACTCCATGCATAGAGAATGCGTTGCAATGACAAAGCGCGCGTGAAGGTTTCAAACGCTTTCATTGCAGGCTGTCCTCAGAGCACTAATGTACCCATTATTATGGTAATTTTGCACGCACATTATAGATTGATGTCATAATGAATCCGAAAAATGTATATCGGCTGACGAGCCACAACATTAGGTACACAATTTAACGGCATCCCATCTGAGACTTGTACCAAACGTTCGGTCTGTGAAAGGACGGTAACGCTCAATGTAGATCCTACTCAGTTCGCCATTGTGGTTTTTCCGGCTACTCCGGTGTCCCTCTTACGTTCCGAAAAACATGCTTCTGCTACCTTCATGCGGACAAGCACTAAAGGATTCTTCCGGAACTAGATCTGCACGTATTGGTAGTGACTTGAATTGAGATGCGCATTGGCCGATAACAATGCCAAATCAGAGTTTTCGGATTCAAGTGAAAAAACAAATCAAAAATTGCAGCATATTGGTGTCACAGGAATGTTTGGATAGCAACATGTACGACATACGTTATACGAGATACCGCGCCGGGAGGCATTTGCGAATATATAGCTGGCTAATGAGCATTATATTAAGCTATCCGTCAATAAAGCCCATTTAGGCAGTGTATTAACGTTTCTGTTGTTAATTCACTGTTGGCTCATGCCATTCGGAATTCGCAAACCAGGGACGCAGGGCCAGAGAAATGTTTATCTAAGTGCTCGCTAGCTAGCTAGTACAACAGAACAGGGATGGATTTAAAACTTTTCCAAAAGCAGAAAAGATAACCAGGGTCCTGCCATAGGGAGATATATTTTCACAAAAGTGAATATATATAGATATATATATTTTTTAATTTATGATGGATAAAATCGAGTGGATTTTGCTGCTTAATTCATATTCCACAAACACGTTTAGAATCGTGGGGCCCAACAGAACATATTGTACAGAAAATTATTGACTTGACGTCCCCTTAAGAGGGTGGGCGTGTCCTCCCGCATGATTGTGGCAAAAAAAAAAAAAAAAAAGATGATCGCAGTCATGAGTGCAATTGTCCAATAGCGGCTGTACAAATGCGAGCGCGGCACCTATCTGGATGGCGACGGGGTAATTATTGCGCGCACCTAATAAAATTCTCTTTTCATAAGGTCACTCCCAAAGCGTAATTAAAAACGGCATTATAGATTATTTTGATTGACGCAATTAAAGCCAAAATGTAATTAAACGGGGCGCTAATAACAGTGTTGGTCAACAGCATTTGTTTTGAGAAAGGGGCTTTGCGAGTCTCCCTCCTGCGACGCGGAACAGTGAAAATACGCGCTTTCATTTCTGCTCCATTTTGTTCAGCCGCTCTTACTGAGTGAAAGTTTGAATGGGATTTAATGAAATCTTTATCAAGGGTGATAATTGTTAGTAAGAGCTTGATTTGAATTATTATCTTTCCGCCTGTGCCGAATTAATGAACGGCTAGCATCGGCTGCGGCGGTTTGTAATTTTGTTAAATTGGCCGCCTTATCAGCAGTCAAAGACTCGGGATTATCAGCGTCCTGACCACTGTGCCAAATTCCTTGTGGATGTACGTCTGTTCCCTGCACAAAGCCAAAATGAGAGATAATAACGCAAGGTTAAACTCCACAATTTTCTCTTCAAAGATGTAAGGAGAGCTCGCGCGCAAATGTGCCGGCGCTTTATGAGGCA